CGTCAGCAGGTAAATAAACTGGCCCGGCCAGCCAGGGAGCTAACCCTGGTGAGCCACGTGCCAAACGTTGCCGACTCCTGGTCTAGACAGTATTTGGTCCTGCCATGAGGGCAGGGGACTGGACTCGATGACCTCTCGAGGTCCCTTCCAGTCTTAGAATCTATGAATACATGCATACAAATACAAAATTACAAAAATGCATACTAAATCCAAATGGCTAGCATTTAAAACCCAAATCATAAATTGCAATGTATGAAATGGTAGTTAAAGGAAACGAAATTTATGCAAAGAAACAAACATAATGGCACTAACTGCTTTGTGCAACTCGAAACGTGAACCTGCATAGAAGAGATATCTATTCATAACATATTTTATTAGAAGAGCTCCTCATTCTCTAAATTGAGCACTAGATGGTAATCAACCAAATATCTGTATCCCTTATACGAGACTGCCCCACGCCCCTCCCCCCCAGGAAAAAAGAAGATTTCATTTTTTGCTTTGGGTAAGAATTGATAACATACCTGAAGCGAGAATGACAGCTGAGTTTGTGCGCCTTGCGAAGATGCAGAGTCAATGTGTAACACCAGGAATAACATTTCTGACAGATGTGACATTTATATTTTAGATTGCCATTATTCTGAGGAAAAGATGGTGTGGAAATCAGTAATTGAGGTTGATGATAAATACAGAGTAAAATTAAAGTAAGAAAAAATTAATATTAACTATATGTTACACTCCTGTAATACTTAGAAAATAATGTAAGTACACATTTTTAATAGATAACCTCCACTGAATATTGCAATTTTCTGATCTAAAATTATACTGCAGATACCTCAGTCTTAGTGATAGCAGGGTCTATGGCTTCCCCTCAAGCAACTGCAGCTTAAACAAACATCAGCTGGATAGTACTGGATTGCAATACATCAGACATTATAACCAGGGCCAGCTTTAGTGAAAGTGGTGCCCTGGGCGAACTTGTATTTTGGCGCCCCCTTCCCTCTCCCCTCATCACCCCTGGCTCCTACAGGCTCCCTGGGCTCCCCCCCCAACCTCTGGGCCATTGCCTATACTTCATGTCCACAGGAAAGTCCATTCAATGTGAACCATGGGCGACGCCCATCTATTGCGAGTTAAGTGTCCCTTGATGAGCCACTTACTTTGACTAGTCCCTTCAAGATGTGCTGGCTAACTATCTTGTGGGCATTACCCCAGGAGCAAACATTTGAAATACAGGTATAGAGTCAATACTTATAACTTCAAGTACAAAAATGATACATGCATACAGATAGCATAAACATATTCAGCAAATCATAACCTTTTCGTAGACATCTTACATGCCACATTTTGTAAAAGATTTGTTGCAAATATATAACAGTGGTTGCAACAGTGATCGGCATGGTCATGTTTTAATCAGATAACGTCACAATGAGTAACTGCTACAACTAGCAAATTCCTAGGCCACTGTCAGCAGAAGTGCAGGTGGCATGGTATATGGTGTATTGCCACACTTACTTCTGTGCTGCTGCAGTGGCTTGCGGTGCCTGGCACTTGGCCTGCAGCTCAAGGCAGGCTTCGCGCTGTCACATGGGGACTGCAACTTGCCAGAGCCCACAGCCCTCCTGCAGCCCCTAGCCACTCTTGGCTCCACAAGCATTTTGACAGGATTGACCAAGCAGTAATAACAACAATACGTGTGTGTGTGCGCGCGCATGACAGAGAGAGAGAAAGCCAGTGTGTGAGAGAGAGAGAGAGAGAGAGCGCGCGCGCGCGCCTGTGTGTGTGTGTGTGTGTGAGACAATCTGTGTTGGGGGACTGTGAGAGGCAGAGTGTATGTGGGTGTGAGAGCCTGTGTGTGTTAGGGAGTTTGAGAGACAGTGAGCGCACTATCACTTTAAGTCCCTCCTCCCCCCCAGCTCAGCCCAGCTCCCCCCTCCCCCCAAGCGGGTTTCGCTTCTCCTGGCCCTGGCCTGGCTGGCCCTGTCAGAGACTGAACGGTGCAGGGCCACAGGCAGGGAGGGACTTGGCTCCACTCTGGGCAGCAAGTGGTGGGCCAGTGCAGAGCCGGGGACCTCAGCCACGTGGCTGAGGAGAGTGTGGGGGGGCAGGGAGAAGCCCAGCACGGGGGAGGGATCGGAGAAGAGAGGAGTCCAGCCACAGCCAGCCAGGGGAAGCCCAATCCCCTTATGGCAACCCCCTGGCTACAGCACCCCAGGCTTGGGCCCCGTTTGCCTGGCCCTGATTAGAACTCAGACAAGTTCAAAAACCACATAATAAATATGTACCAGTTCTAGTTCTGTTATTGTGTGCTGTACTAGTTCTAGGGACAGAGTGCAGTAAATTGACACAGAAATATATTCCTTCAAATATTTTGCTTCTCAGGATAGGAATGGCTTGTTGATTTACAGGAAAGAAAACATGATACTGGCCCAGTTTTCAAGATTGGGAACATGCAACTGTGTACAGTTAATTTATGCACCCAAATAGCCTAGATGCAAGCACAAGGCAGGTATTTTGACATACACATGCATTTTGAAAATCAGCCCCTATTGTCTATTAAAAGATACTTCCGTCTACTCTTTTAATACCCACCATATGTGCTCTCTTGTAATGCTGTCTCAAGATCTGTAAAGTCCGTGAAGTAAAAACACATCCTTCTACATCACAGCTGTAGGCATTTGAATCATTGTGTGTTTCAACATGTTTATGAAGATCATAAGCATTCTTAAAACTGAGGAGCATATAGGTGAAACAAATTACTTTTACTGTTCAAATAACAGCAATAATAGCAGAGAGGGTGTGGTCTAGTACAGTGGCTCTCAACTTTTTTGGGCTCAGGACCCCTTTTTAAATATTTATGGCCTGCAGGGCCGGTGCAAGGATATTTTGAGCCCTAGACGAAACTTCCACCTTGCACCCCCGCTCCCCGTGCCCTCCCCCCAGAGCATCTATTATTATAAACTTTCAAAAATGAATACAGTGGAGTCACATCTTACACGGGGGTTAGGTTCTAAAGTCAGCGCGAAAGAGGAAAATTGCATATAGTGAAAATTACCATAAAGTACAGTACACTCAGTATACACTGTATACACTAGAACAGGAGTCCTCAACCTACGGCACTCGAGTCAATTTTTTTTTAAATGGCAGGCTGCGGGTCCTGGCCGCCGCTGAGCCCGCGGCTGGCCTGGGGTTCCGTTCACTCAGCCAGCAACGGGCTGAGCGGGGCCGGCAGTGGGCTGGCGGCCAGGACCCCAGCTGGCAGGAGCCGGCAGACGGAACCTCAGACCGGCAGCGGGTTCAGCGGCAGCTGGGACCCGCAGCCTGCCATTTAAATAAAAAAAATCCGCTTGCGTGCCACCTTTGGCACGCGAGCCGTAGGTTGAAGACCCCTGTTCTAGTGTATACAGTGTATCCTGTAAAAAGAACAGGAGTACTTGTGGCACCTTAGAGACTAACGTGTGGTGTGCTTTATGGTAATTTTCACTATACGCGATTTTCCTCTTATGCGCTGACCTTAGAACGTAACCCCCGTGTAAGATATCACTCCACGGTAGTGAAAAAATAAATTTTTGGGCACTGCTTTTTGGTGCCCCCAAATATTGGCACCCTAGGCGGCCGCCTAGTTCACCTAGTGGCTACACCGGCTCTGATGGCCTGTTGCAACCCAGTAAATACTCTGAGTGTGGAGGCCCTGGGATGGTTTTGGTTGGATCCTGCCCCCCCCCATCTGGGGGAGGGGAAGGTTGGGTCCTGCCCGGCACTCACCTCACAGTGGCAGCACCTGTGCTGTGGGGCTTGCTGGGCTTGGCTCTCAGCTCCAGGCTTTGCAACCTCAGGGATTGCAGCATTACTCAAGTTTGGCCCTGCCCCCCTGATTGGACCAAATTTGTCTGAGTGGAATTGTGATCTGGCTCATGGGGGGTTGCAGTGCCACTCAAATTTGGTCCACCCAGAATCCTGTCATGATAGCTGGGCCAAACCTGAGTGGTGCTGGGACCCCAAAGATTGCAGTGCCTTCAGCAGGGAGGCGAGCCCAGCCAGCCTCACGGGACAGGAGCTGCCATGTGACCCTTGGAAACATTCTAGGTACCCAGTGTTGGGTTCCAACCCACAAGTTGAGAAACCCTGATCTAGTGGTTGAAGCACAGGAGTGGGAGTCACAGATTCTTGGGTTCTATTCATGGTTCTGACAATGATGAGCAATGGGGACCTTGTACAAATCACTTATCCTTTCTACGTCCATTTCACAATCTGTGAAAGGGGAATATACTTCCACATTCTCATTATTATGGTTTGGGGGTAATCTCTAATTCTACTTTCTTCCTAGGCATCCAGGCTATGTCCAAATCTTGCCACTTTTTCCACAATAACTTTTCAATGATCCATCCACGCCTCTCTGTCCTCTAAAACTCTTGTCCATGCACTGATCAAATGTTGTCATAATAAGAGCAACTTCTTCCGCTCTAGTCTCTCAAATATTCATATTACTCCCTCCAGTCTACCTAAAACATGCACATGAAAGTGTTATCCATTTATCTGACCTCTCCTGGAATCCATCCCTGCATCAGGTTTAAACTTCTTAACCTCCCTTTCAAGGCCCTATTTAATTTGGCCCCTGCCTACGTATGTAAGTGTTCTAAATCATTAAGTCTCCCTCCCTTTGCTCCATCAGTGATGCCACCGTCAGTGTTCCCTTTGACTGAACTGGAAAAAGTAAAGAAGGTTGTGAGAGCCACCAGGAAGTTAGAGAATCAAGTGGGGAGTGGAAAAATAGAGGTAGCTGAGAGGAAATGGGTAAAATGATCCAGCAGCAAGAGGACAATTCAGAAGAGGAGCATCTGACTCTCACAGAAATATCCAGTAACCCTTGCAGCTGATCAATTGAGGGGGGAAATAGTTGCTAAATATGGCCTAAATTGATCATTGATGACCTTTTCTTACAGTATGCATAGTCTTACCTGGAAGACATCTTTTGGCACTAGAAACAAAGTATCGTTCCTACTTCCACCATAAGTTCAAGAAGTGCCTTTATGTGTTCCAGCAGACTAATGCATCAGTCTACCTACTTATTTATTTTTTTTGAGCTAAGGGTTGCTATTTTAAGGGCTGAATGTTTTTCTTACCTTTGTTACCTCTTACATTCATTGAACACTGACTTATTTCCACACTTCTGTTGATTAGCTAAGAGTTCCAAATCTTCTTACCTACTCTCACAGAGATCACAGTGGAAAGGGCGTTCATCACAGTGTCGGAATCTGATGTGCGCTTTCAGAGAGGAGACACTTGTACATACCATATCACAAAATGGACATGTAACATGGGTAACTGGAGAAATAATAATACTTTTATTTCTATGTCACTCCTTTGCCAAGACACTCAGTCTGTGGTGCAATATGATAAAAACATTTAGAAAAACCCATTCACACTAAAATTAACAACTAACGCTAATTTGGGTATACAATGCATAAGAAAAAAAAGAGGGGAAAAGAAAGAGAACAGAGGGGTAATAAATATGGGCCAAATAGTGGGCATTCCAATAAACATGCACGTGAAAAAGCATTTTGAGGTATTTTCAAAACGTAGATGGAGAGAGAGACAAATTTCAGAGGGGAAGGGGGAGTCTGTTTCACTCTCTAGGGCCTAGTAAAACAAAGGCCTAATTGCCTACTTGCTTATGGCACAATGGTGGGAATTCGTAAAAGGTGGATGTTGTGAGAGTGCATGCAACAGGAAATTCTGAATGTAGGCAGGATCTACATTTTGGTTGGGAGTTTAAAGAAGTGTGTCATTTTATAATCTGATGCTTTATGGGCAGCCAATATAAAATATGTTTGGTTGGCATAATGTGCTCATGCTAACTGCTTGTCTGGATGGGGAAATAGACCAGAATAGCAACTGAAGAATAAGCTATTCCTCCTTAGCTATTGCTAGGTAGCTCCACATATGGACACTCTTATCCCGGAGCAAGAGTGCCCTTTTCTTATTGAGCTTAATCCACTTGGAAAGTTAATTAAACTAAATTACAGATAGTCACTCTTATTCCAGAATAGCTTTAGCACTTTACATTTATACTCTATCTTACTCCAGAATAACCTCCCCAAGAAGACAAACCCTAAGAGGGAATTGTAATATTCAAACTTTGTAGTCAAGTGAGGACACGAAGAGGAGAAAGTCCTAAACAACTGGGCATGCGAAGAGGAGAAAACCATCTCATATGGACTATCTATCTGATAGTAAGACTTCTGTTTCCCCACAATTGTATCAATTTCCTTGAGTCTGTATACTGCTTCTCTCAGCTGACATATGAAAAGATATCTTAATAATATTATCATCTATCTATGGTTGTGCTAGTTTAGTAGCACAGTTATTTTAAAAAGCTCTGACTCACCATGGCCTCTCATATGGTCTCGTAGTAACCTCTCATTGGCAAAGTGTTTGTCACAATTCTGACAAACAAATACCTGTTCTGAAATTTAATGGGAAGTGATCAGTGATGCAATTGATATTTATTGATCTATTTTTAAAACACATAGATTAGGGTTGTCAATTTGATCACTAAACTGTCACAGCAGTGGGATAATTTCAGTATTATTTTGTATTCCAGATGTTTTCCAGAAAAAAATCTGGTTTAGGGTAATTGCAGAATTTTAATTAGCAATATATTAATTTTACTCCTAACAAGACAACAATCTGTTAAAAAATATTAACAGTTTTAACCTGCCAAGTTTTTGAGCTTTATGGTTTGAGTACTTATATAGACCCCATTACCATAGCATCCATAGTACCTGAGCACTTTCCAAGTATTTAAAAAAAAAAAAATACTCTCTTCCTTCCTGGCCTGTAGGAAAAATATCCTGATTAGTTTATAGTTTGTTGAAGGGGTGGGAGGGTGGTAGGAGAATGTGCTGCAGTGAAGAACATATTGAGTAAAATCTAAGCTCAAGAGAGTGTTGCATTTAGTTCTGAAAGTGGTTAGTTCCATGATCATTCAGATCACTTTCAGAAGTGAATTTCATAATTTAAGTCCAGCTCCTGTAAGAGTTCGGTCTCTGGCATTCAACAGCTTCTCCTATTGGTCATCGGTTTCACTATTCCAATGGAATGCAGTTGCCCTCAGAAGCCATGGGCATGGAGTCAGAGGCAATCTTTATTTTTACAATGAAATGCCACAACTGTCAGGTGGATAGCCACTATGTTTAAATATGCATCTGAGTGCTCTCTCTCTTTCTCCCATTACCCCAATTCATCATTTATATCAAGCAATCCTTGCAAAGCCAAAAGTACTTCCATGCTTCAGGAAGATAATTTCCTTCCTAAAGTCAATTTTGCATTTAATTGACACTTCTGAAAAATAATAATAGGTGTTATATATGTACTATTATAAACCGGCTCAAAAGTAAATCCCTAAATAAATGTAAATAGAAATAGAGCAAATCCACTTACGATCCTCTGAAACCTGGCGCTTGGCATGATCAAAAAACTTGGTATTATTGGAGAACATCGCTCCACAAGAGGGACAGGCCACCACTCTTTCTTGAGTGTGGGTTCTTAAGTGATCCCATAGCTTGTGCTTTCCTTTAAATGTTCCTGAACAATCTAAACACACATACTATATAAGATTACAGAACAGCTGCACATGAGCACTTTCCTGTTTGTACTCAAGAGAAAATAAAGATTGTATTATATATAGTCCATCAATACATTTTTAGAAGAGCACAACTAAAATGTTTTTAGGAAAAGTCAGAACATTACTACTGCAAACACTACAGAGTTCAGTTGTGCAAATGCTACACAGGGCCTGTTGAAAAGCCTACTAAAAATCAATGGAACGATTCCCAGTGACTTCAGTGGGCTTTGGCTTAGGCCAGTGTTACTCAAACTTTTCCTGTCTGCGTCCCCCGCTCCATTACTCCTCAGCCAAGGTTTCCTCAGCAGAGGAGCTTGAGCTGATGGCAGAGCTGAGGTTGGGGGCAGAACTAGAGCTAGATGCAGAGCTGGCCTGGAGGCGGGGCAGAGGGAGAACGAGGGCAGAGCTGGGCTGGGGGCAGAGTGGAGGTGTGGCTGGAGCTGGAGTGGGGGCAGAACGGAGCTGGGGCTGGAGCTAGGCTGGGGGCAGAGCGGGGCTGGATGGTGCTCCCTCCACACCCCGTGGGGGCTGGCCTGGGCCCCACCAAGTGTCCCCTTAAACATTCCTCCATGTCCCCCCAGTGGGGCGTGCCCCACAGTTTGGGATTACTGGCTTAGGCAAAATTCCCATTGAAGTTATGTGCAGAACGCCCATTAAATTACTGTTTTTGCATTGGTGTGAAAAAGTTTTAGGGCAGCAACATTGTTACTCTAAGCTCAAAAACATTCCTTCCAGTGTAGGACCCCAAGCCTGTGGGTGCTGAAAGTTTTCAACTACCACTGAGGTCAAATGGGAATTGAGGGTGCTCAGAACCTTGAAGGATTGGACTCTGGCATACTAGGCTTTTAATTAAGTGATTTGGCATTGCTAGTGCAATCCATTTAAACTAATCAGGAGCATACAATGTAGGTAAAGGACTTTATTTAAGATGGCTGGAAAAAGGCTGTATGAAGAGATCTAACGTATTCCTGTGCTTCATGAAACACTCAGTAAATTTTATAGTGGCAGTGAAATTACTAGGGCAATATTCCAGATTTTGTAAATTAAATTTAGAATGTGAGCTACCTTTCCAGAGACAACAACAAATAGCTTTCTTGTTACTTGAGATGTTTTCTTTCTCAGTAGAGTATGCATGCATGGCAACATGCCGATAAAACCATTCTGGGTTGTTGTAGGTAACCTGAGGACAAAATGAAACCATGAAGATGATGGATAGTGTTGGCAAGAAATCAAATGACAAAAACAAAAACACATTGATAGAAGTGATTTCTAGAGAATTTACACAGAGTAAATGGTGCCTCATCTACTGAAGAAATTTTGAATAGGGCAGTCGATTAATCGCAGTTAACTCACGCAATTAACTCGAAAAATTAATCGCAATTAAAAAAATCATGATTAATCGCACATTTAAACAATAGAATACCAACTGAAATTTAATAAATATTTTGGACGTTTTCCTACATTTTCAAATATATCGATTTCAGTTACAACACACAATACAAAGTGTACAGTGCTCACTTTATATTATTTTTATTACAGATATTTGCACTGGAAAAATGATAAACAAAAATAGTATTTTTCAATTCACCTCATACAAGTACAGAAGTGCAATCTCTTTATCGTGAAAGTGCAACTTACAAACTTAGATTTTTTGTTACATAACTGCACTCAAAAAATAAAATAATGTAAAACTTTAGAACCTACAAGTCCACTCAGTCCTACTTCTTGTTCAGTCAATGGCTCAGAAAAACAAGTTTGTTTACATTTACAGGAGATAATGCTGCTCACTTCTTATTTACAATGTCACCAGAAAGTGAGAACAGGCATTTGCATGGCACTTTTGGAGCTGGAATTGCTAGGTATTTACACGCTAGATATGCTAAACATTCGTATGCCCCTTCATGCTTCGGCCACCATTCCAGAGGACATGTTTCTATACTGATGGCACAAGTTAAAAAAAAATGTGTAAATTAAATTTGTGACTTAACTATTTGGGGGAGAATTGTATGTCTCCGGATGACCCAACACATGTTGTTCGTTTTAAGAACACTTTCACTTCAGATTTGACAAAACGCAAAGAAGGTACCAATGGGAGATTTCTAAAGAGCTACAGCACTCGACCCAAGGTTTAAGAATCTGAAGTGACTTCCAAAATCTGAGATAGATGAGGTGTGGAGCATGCTTTCAGAAGTCTTAAAAGAGCAACATTCCAATGCGGAAACTACAGAACTGAACCACCAAAAAAAGAAAATCCACCTTCTGCCAGTGGCATCTGAGTCAGATGATGAAAATGAACATGCGTCGGTCCGCACTACTTTGGACTGTTATCAAGCAGAACCTGTCATCGGCATGGATGCATGTCCTCTGGAATAGTGGTTGAAACATGAAGGGACATATGAATCTTTAGCAGATCTGGCACGTAAATATTTTGTGACACCAGCTACAACACTGCCATGCAAACACCTGTTGTCACATTCAGGTGACATTGTAAACAAGAAGCGGGCAGCATTATCTCCTGCAAATGTAAACAAACTTGTTTTTCTGAGCGATTGGCTGAACAAGAAGTAGGACTGAGTAGACTTGTAGGCTCTAAAAGTTTTACATTGTTTTGTTTTTTGAGTGTAGTTATTTTTTGTACATAATTCTACATTTGTAAGTTCAACTTTCATGATAAAGAGATTGCACTACATTATTTATACTAGGTGAATTGAAAAATACTATTTCTTTTGTTTTTTACTGTGCAAATATTTGTAATTAAAAATAATACTATAAAGTGAGCACTGTGGTAAATGAAATCAAAATATTTGAACATGTAGAAAACATCCATAAATATTTAAATAAATGGTATTCTATTACTCTTTAACAGTGCAATTAATCGCAATTAATTTTTTAAATTGCTTTACAGCCCTAATTTTGAACATACTTCCATATATACCAGATCCTGAATTTGGCCTTAACTGTAGTACAGCGATTGGCAACCTTTGGCATGCGGCCCGTCAGGGAAATCCGCTGGCAGGCTGGGACTGTTTGTTTACCTGCAGCGTCCACAGGTTCGGCCAATCGCAGCTCCCACTGGTCGCAGTTCGCTGTTCCAAGCCAATGGGGGCTGCGGAAAGCGGTAGCCAGCACATCCCTTGGCCCACGCTGCTTCCCACAGCCCCCACTGGCCTGGAACAGCGAACCACGACCAGTGGGTGCTGCGATCGGCTGAACATGCGGACGCTGCAGGTAAACAAACTGTCCTGATGTGCCAGCGGATTTCCCTGACAGGCCGTGTGCCAAAGGTTGCTGATCTCTGCTGTAGTAGCTTAAAGATAGTCAGTCTATTTTAGTCCAGTGGCTCCCGACTTTTCTATTGTTGGAAGCCCCCCTCTTCTGATGGGTTAGCAAATAGGAGCCCTCACCATCCCATCGTACCATGCCCTGGTATAGTTGTCACTGACTCTCCATATTTCTTTACCTATTCTCATTTTTTAAAATTGTTTTTCTATTCTCTCTTTTTCCTTGTCTTTTTACTTCCCCCCTACATTCTCCCGCTCACCAGAAACCTACTAGTGCAGGCAGGGCCGGCTCCAGGGTTTTGGCCGCCCCAAGCAGCCAAAAAACAAAAAAACAAAATAAAAACCCGCAATCACGATCTGCGGCAGCAATTCAGCGGAAGGTCCTTCGCTCCGAGCAGGAGTGAGGGACCGTCCGCCGAATAGCTGGACCTGCCGCCCCTCTCCGGAGTGGCCGCCCCAAGCACCTGCTTGCCAAGCTGGTGCCTGGAGCCGACCCTGAGTGCAGGTTGCTCAGAGTGGACATAGGTGGCACATCATCTCAGTAACTTTAGATTTAAGTGTTGCTGCAGTGGAGGAGAGCAAGAGAAACTTAAGGGCTGCTGCCTGAGCCAGATGGCTTGTACCATTGAGTCGATCTGCAGTTTGAGACATTAGGAGCCACCACAGAAGCTGGGAAGCAAAATGGGTGATTTTCAAGGAAGACTTTATCCGTTGCTATGGGAGTGGAAATGGTTAGCAGCTTTCCCTGCCCCCTCTCTCTCTCTTCTCTTTTGTTTTGCATCTTACCCCACCTTTCTGGACTAGTCTAGCCTGCCTACCAGGTTGGGAAACACTATTTTAATTAATACAATTCATAACAGCAGTTTAAGCTTGAAGGAACATGTATAGAAATATTTAGCAAAGTGCTACATATAGAAAAAAATAAAATTAAAGGGCATATTTCATCTTAATAAGTGAAGAAAACCATACAAAAAAACCCCAATTACCATAAAAACTGATTATATGCTAACTGAAAATGAAGTTACTACCCCATCAGAACAACTCCCATAAATGTTAAAGGTTTTTTTAAATACATGTTCCACAAATGAGAACAGGTTTCCAGACATGCACAACCAGGGCGGCTCTTGATTCCCGGCCTGAAAAAATGTGAGATCTCTGAGTTTTATTGGTATTTCTTAAAATTAAAGGCCTAGCAACATGCAAGATCACTTCTAGTAAGTACATACACAAGGACTTTTTTTTTAACCTTTATATTTTAAAAACAACAATCACTGTGGGAAAAGTAACCTCCATAAGTTATGGGACTCAATGGAAATGGAACCTGCAGGTCAAGCTATACAACCAATTATCTTATGATACAGTTAATTAATATCTGTTTTGATTTTTAATTTTAAAGAGAAATGAATGTTTGTGAAAGGTTCTATATTTCATACACTGAGCCCAGATCCACAAAGGGACTTAGGTGCCTAGAAAACCACAAGAACAACACTGTGATCCACGAACCCTGAGTTAAGCACCTAAGGCTTCCTATACAATGAATGGGGAGAGAGAGGTGCCTAAGGCCACCCACAAAACTCAGCACACTAGGCACAGAACTGCTTAAGCTAGTCAAGGGGAGATGCCAATGAGAGGGGATCCAAGCCTCACCCTTGTCATGAAGATAAGTGTCTAATTCTGTGCTGCAGGGAGGTGTCTATTTCTGCTTGTGATCCACAACTGCGAGAAGATAGGCATTCCTCTGCCTAAGTCACACGTGGGGCCTGATCTGGCAGACATGCTCTGAGGCCACCAACTCTGCACAGAAATACTGTGGGTGGAAGGGAGCGAACCCCAGTTCAAGTCTTGCCTCTGCCCAGTGAAAAGGTATTTGAACAAGGGATCTACCTCCTCTCAGGTGCATGTTCTAATCACTAGACTATTCTCATGTGGATCTCCCTCATTCTTTCCTTTTGAAACTATTCCATTTTAAATAACTGAATATTAATTTGGCCAGCGAAAGTGTGAGAATCATTAGAGTTTAGTGGGGACTTAAACTGCTGGCCTCCAGTATTCTGGGTGAGTGCCCTAACCACTGGGATAAAGATAAAAGGTTCTTTCATTACCTGCCAACCCCCCATTATTGGTGTGGCATTAGGTGGCCTATGAACACACTTACTGGATTGAGCAACACATGCAATTTAGTCAGAGGGATGCCTATCTTCCTGAGTCATGACTCACGTGGAGGCTTAGATGGCAGATAGGCATCCATACCATAATGGTCCTCTAGCACATGGATAAGAGCACTGGCCTTATAAACCAGGGTTTGTGATTTCAATTGTCATTAAGGACTTGTACCAATAATTTTCAGACTAGATGGTCACAATGATCCCTTGTGGCCTTGGAATACATGAACACCTACAATGAGGAAGCAATGTCCTTGCCCAGAGGCAAAAACATAGGCGCCTACGTAACTTTTACTGCAAAAATTTAGATGCTGAGTGACTTTAGGTACCTACAGGGTTAGGCAGCAGCCAAGCAGGGGTTTTGTGAATCACAGTGGCGCCTAAAAATGCTATACAGGCACCTAAATCTGGGGGTTAGGCACCTAAGTACCTTTGTAGATCCAGGCCCTAGTGACTAAAATCCTCTATTTATACAGGTAGAGGTGGTTGTGACAGATTAAAACTAATCTGTCAATAATTCTTATTTGATGTAGAAATGCACTGACATGAAGAGAGAAATCGAAGAATTATATGAGCACTGTCTCTTTAAATTCATAGCCAAAGGAACAAATGAGCTTTTTTCTAGGTTAACATCTCAGAGGAGACAAAGACCAGGATCCAGTCACCCTTTAGGCAGACTAAGATCAAAGGGCTTGTGAAATACTACATCTTGAGAGAAGAAATTGGGAAATACCTCTAGTGCTAGATAAGGGGAATGTTAATAGAAACATGGGACAATAACCATTATACAGAGAATGGAAACTATTCCACTCCCTCAAGATAGTACATTTTTTCAAACATTACAGACTTAAAATCAGCAATGAGCTCCATGTAGGCAGACCTTCGTGCCTCTGCAGAGCACCAGTGAGGTCCATGGGGGGGTACATCTCATGGACTTCACTGAAGAATCAGGATCATTGTTTGTACCCGCAACCAGAATTGGCACACCTTTAAAATGAAAAATGGTCACAAATGAGAAACAACTGAAAGCGTGGGGGGGGGGGGGGGCGGGGACACATACTTGAGACTCTTGAAACCATGTGACTTTGAATGGCCAAAGGAGTGGGGGGCGGGAAGGGGAGAGAGAGCTCTTCTTGAAATGTAAGCATCTACTTGTTTTTAATTCTGTAGAATTAAACTTGAAGTGAACCTATCTAGATGAGATTTGCAGAGTGAGTATCATAGCGTTTCTGTGTTCTGCATGCCATGTCTTTTGTTTTAATCTGATTCTCTATTCTTAATTTACTTATTCGTTATTAAGCTATTTGAGTCAAAGACTGATGTTTGTAAATTTCATGAAAACCAACCCGGGGGGGGGAGGGGGCAACAACCTTTAAAAAGAGGTAGTAGTGAAGGAAGGTTGTCTGAAGCCTACCTTGCTCAGTGTTCTCAATCTAAAGGGCATGCCTAAGGAGTCTCTTCCAGATGGAGCATCAGTTGCAGGGCTTCAACCCAATGGATGCAAAGAGAATGCCCACTGACAAGAACTGAGTTTAGGGGGCCAAAGATGACAGACACAATGCTTCCACACGCTGCCCTACCAATATGGTCCCACTCTGCTAGGATGAATACTTCTAAGGGGCAAAAGGTAGTTTAGTTTCAGAGCCCATTCAGTCATTACCAACTATGCGAACACTGGCAAGGAGGATATTAATTGGTGTAAAATGTAATCGTTCTCTTGATACAAAAAGAGAAAGTGACGAGGTGATATCTTTTATTGGACTAACTTCTGCTGGTGAAAGAGACAAGCTTTCAAGCTTACAGAGAGCTCTTCAACAGTCAACATGGGTACAACAACACTGCAAACAACTCTTGATACAGACATTGTCCACTAGGAATTGGATGGAGACCACTAATTAATTTTACATATTCCACTAAAGAGCTGTCAGAAGCTGACATTTTTCAGTTGCTCCCAGGCTATGTCAGATTTGAATTAGTGACCTAAAGATGAAAGGCTCATTAACAAATCCTCTGAGCCATCCAATTTCAGAATCATTAAAAGGCTGCAAATATCTGAGAGAAAATATCAGATATTCTTGTCTAATTTTTGTTCCAGAAAATGGTCAAAGTAAATACAGTGGGTTTCTTAATCAGGTTGATGGCATATTCATTAGCTTAGAATATTTCTGGTTACTTTACAATTTTGTAAGATATATTTCTAAAACACAGAAAAAGCAGTGCAGTGGGAAAAAAGTCATTTTAGTTCCAACAAAAGGAAGAATACTTGGATTTAAAGTAAACTGGTAGTAGATGCTAAAATAAATGGTGTTTATATATAGTATATACTTTGGCAAACACTATCACAATAATTACCATTTCTACTTATGAAGACGGAATGGAACAACACTCAATAATATATAATAAAAAAATTCAGTAGTGAAACCTCTCTTTTCCAGGTGCTGGAACTGGGGAAGGTTAAGGTAGAGTTAGGAGACAAGAAAGGAAACAACATTCATTTCACTTACATCACAATTCTCCCATTGGCAAACATACATCTCTGAAATCCTTGGTATCTGATTCTGGTTATAGCTGTTCTGGGAACATGCTGGCCAATCTTGGTGTGATGCCCTTAACTGAGAGCCTAAGAATTTCAACTTGGTGTGGTAACTATGAAAATTTACATGGGTTACCAGCTCCCTGGGACCTGTAGCCAAAAATTCACAATTTCTCCACCAACAATGGTACTGCTCTAAACACACACAAAAAAAAAGAAATAATGTTTCATGGAATGTTGTATTAAGTTAGGAACTGTGTGAGACAATCTTCAAGAAGGTACCAGAAGATAACTATTACTTACATTTTAGGGGAGGATCTACTGAAGCATTGGTAAAACTAGTAGAGTGACGGATAACAGCTATGTTCAGATAATTAAATATCTAAAGATTTTAAGCCTCAGCAATGAACAAGATTTTTCACTTTCTCAAAACTCATAATTCTAGTGGAATTTTCCCCAGAAAGAGAGCACTGGACTTAGAATGTCTGAGTAAGGTCTATTGAATGGTTGTACAGTGTTACTGTTTACTATTAGAAAGACAAGTTGGGCGAAGTAATATCCTTGTCTGTGTAATATCCTGGGACCAACATGGCTACAAGAACACTGCATATAACTGATCACACATTACCACAATATAAATGATAATAGTAAAGACTTGAGGCCTGATTCTTAAGCACTGGACTTTTAGCAAATGACTGTCCTTGCTCCAAAAATCTTGGTTGTGTTTTCAAATTTTACAATCAATCTGCACTCCAGCCTGTATAACAGCCAACCAAACTTTTAATTATTCAATAATCTTTCCTGAACCCACTTGAGTAGTTAGTTATATAGTACAAACTGGATTATCCAAATGTAATGGGAACAATGAATAAATATGGAAACACAAAGGAAATTCCAAGGCACAGAAAGAAGAGGATATCTCTATTTCAGATAAAAGAGTTTCTGATCATTTTGGTTTGGATATTTGAGTGTTGCACAATATTTGATTTTTGACAGTGCAAATCTTGAATTCAAAGGACATTGTTAAGAATACCTGATACGGAAACTGGCTGTTTGGCATTTTTAGTTTGCAGGCTTTCACACGGCCATCACTCTGTTCTGCCTACTTGTTTCAATCCAGTGAGTTGGCAGAGGTTCTAAATTTGAAAGAGACTCCATGTGGGTGCAAGGATCTGCCCACATCTATTCAATTGCAGGATAGAGCCCACGTAATAAGGCAACAAAACAAAAAGTAACACAGGAATTACTTGAGTCTCTCATGCCCAGTACTCCCAGTAGGTTATACGCAGTTGTAACATCATAGAATTATTCATTCTGGAGCACCAAAGCAATCCAGGACAAGCCCAGTGGTTTTGGAGGACCAATACAGAATGTTGTAAAAATTAGCTTTTTACTTACGTATGAGCTAAAATACTGTCAGTCTGGATAGAGGAGGCATTGAGTGCATATTGTTGTTGGTTCAATTTTACTTTCCATTTACTGTACCTTTAATTAAACTCGGTCTAGTATTTATACCAGCAATGAAACATGTGAAAATAGTGTTAAGAATAAAGGTCAGAATTCATAACAGCTACAATATTAAAAATATCTACTACACTATTGCTATTGCAGTCTACATAGACTGCTTACAATTTTCTGTGGGATACAACTGAGGTTTTCTTGTAAGTAACTAATACCATTAGAAGAAAGATGCAAGATATAGAACAAAAGCAAGTAAATACTGTTTATTTATTCACAGAAAACAGTTACAACAAAAGGGCAAGTTTCCTCTAAGTTGATTTCTCCAACCTCCACCTTAAAGTTAGAAATCTTAAGTAACACATAAGTTCCAGAGATCCAAAAATTCTTTTTTGAGACTACCAATTAAAACAAACAAACAAACAAACAAAAACACACACCACACTTTAGCCCTCATTCAAGAAAAAATTGAGTTTAAACTTCTGATTCATGACTTCAGCTACATTAGCATTATTTCTATTTTAGTACTGTATCTTTAGATAAAGAGAAAACCAGCAAAATCAGATGCAAATAAAAAAACAAAAATAGGCCCCAGTCCTGCAAGTGTCTCTGGTATGTAGTCACCAGCACACACAGAGTCCTATTGACTTCATTTTACCAGCAAAGTGCCAGTGCAAGATCAGGGCCACAAACTAAAAAATCTTCAAAACTGCGATATTATCTGTATGGTGAATGAGACAGATCTATTACCTGTTCTTTCCAGAGGATGTTGTTGATACTCTTTCAAGTGTTCTGCAATGTGGTCACAAAATTCCTCCATACATTTTCCTACAAAAAGGCATTCTTCCCATTCACACAGTAATATCAGTTCAGAGCTCTTGAATTTGTTTCCAGGGGCCATTACTTAAAATCCTTTAACAGTACAGAGTAGTTTTCTGTGTTATTAGATTTACAGAAATTTCTCTTATGAAAACAACCATAATATAATTTACCCCCCAAATTATGATATGTACCTTTTTATAACTGGGTGGATAATATCTTCCAGACTCTATGGCCTAATCTACACACAAAAGTTGTACCTCTTTAACAATATTGATATAGTTCAAGCAGTACACACACAGTGCGGGCACTGTACTGATATAAATCTGTTTATACTAGTATAGCTTAGTCCCATATAGGAAGGGAACTAAGCTATACTGATATAAGCACCTGTATACCAGCATAAACATACTAGGGATTTGTACTGGTATAACTATATATTGGTAAAAAAAACCTCATCCCTAATCAACAGAATACCAATACAAAACCTGTGTGAAGACTAGGCCTTAGGCAGACGAGTGAGGAAATGGGCCCTAAATCAGTTTCTCTGTTTCAACATCATGAAATTATATAGGTACTCAGTGCACCTGCTGACAGGATTTCTGTACTTTGACTAGAGAAAGTGCTAGCAAAAGGAACTGAAGTTAACTAACCACCGTTTTCCAAAATCGCTGACACACCTGAAAACGTTATGCAGGGCTGGGAAGGCGCCTCTGACCAATTGTAACGGTGCCATCTCGGCGGTTACACCGGATTGCACTGGTCACTGAGTGTCACTGAGTCCCTGACCTGTGGCGCACAACGCATTGATGGTCCTACCCAGGTCCTGAATCCCCCCGCCCGTGTAATCTTCCATTTTCAAATGAATTAATACGTTACCCAAATTTGGAATAATTAACAAAAAACAAATGATCGTTATTCTTTGTTTGAATTGCGCCCTATCTGCGCCCAAAAGGTGCCAGCGCGCTGCCAAGGGGGGCGGGGCAGAAGGCCCCTGGGAACCGGGCTGGGCAGAGCAAGACCGACTCTCTGGAAAGGACCCCGGGGCCGGTAGTTCCGGAGGGCTGCGTCCGAGGTGCCGGCTGCGGGAACGGCTCAATGCATTTGAATTACAACGGTCCAAAGATGCCCCTTTGCCCGTCACTTCTCCCAACCCCCCGCTCTAGGGCCTCATGGACGGAGGCAGGCGGAGCGCTGACACTAAGAGGCGCCTCCCCCATCATTAGCCCCACGGACACGGGGAGCGCTCAGAGCCGGGGGGCAAGGGGGAGGGGCGGACACAGACACGCGCTGGCCAAGCCGCGCGCGCGGACGCACACGGCAGGGGCGGGAAAGCACCTTAGAGCAGCCGGAGCCCGCGCGCCTCAGCCGCCCTGGCAGCGGGATCGAGGCTCCCGCCTTGCCTGGATAACTCACGTGCCTAGTGAGGCGGGGAGGGGCTACGGCAGCCAATCAGGGCGGAGGTGGCTCCTCCTTATAGCAGCCCGGGGGGCGGGCCGAGACTCCGAGTGACCGAGTTCCCTGCGGTGCTGCCTCAGCGGGTGGAGGGAGGAGCACGCGCAACCGCCGCCAACTGATGAACTCGGTGCTCCTCGCTCCATCTCCCCCCCCCCTGCCTTGACTGAGCGCCGACTCCTCGATCAACCACCCCAGGCCCTCTGGGATCGGCCCCGCCCCCTTCACGCACCAGAGGGAGGCGGGGACATGGAGGAGTCCAGCCCCGCCCCCTCATGAAATGAGCAAGCC